ATAGCTGTTCCTTTGTCTTATATGGCTTTCCTAATGTTAAGATATATTTTACAGCTGTGATAATGATCCAAACATTCACACAAGTTTTATTCCCCACTTTTACATGAAAGTTTCATGTTCCTTTGCCACCCTAAACCTGTTTTCTCGAAACTCAATTACCTGATGGTAATTACCTGAGGTAATTGAGACTGAGGGTTGATACGCTCAGTCTCATTGTAGTATTTGGTGTCTGTAAGTAAGCTGTGTCCAATGGCGACACGCAGGTCGCTCATCGTGCTTTCCCTCAGTAGCTAATTGTGAAAGGCCAAATAAAAAAACCCCACCAGTAACAACTCATGAAAAAAGCTGTGATTTATACAAAAAAATATATAACTGATGAATCTTCACCTATGTAAAGTTACCACCAACTGCATGCAAATGAGTTGATGGAATGGGTCTGACATAAAAAAAAAAAAAAACAGCTATCAGAGGAGGTGGTAAACCTGATAAAAGAGCATTACAAAAATCTAATTTTGGAGAGACAAGTTATGAATTTATTGTTTTTATTTATTAGAGTTTAAGTAAAAAGAAAAATACAAACGGAACTTTAAGGAAGCGTCGTCCTTCCTTAAAGCTTCGCCCCAAAGGTTTGGAGTAATACCAAAAGTACTGCATCCCAGGAGTTCTTTTATGGGTTAAATCTTTACCTGTGTTGTGCGCTTTTACTCTGGTAAATGCTGTGAAAATTGAGGGTGGTTAATTATACTTTGGATTGCCTGAGAATATCCCTAAAGTGGAAATGGGCTTTTAGTCTCAGTTTTTCTCTCTGAAATGAAAGCCACAGCAGAACCAGACACTGCAAGAATGTTTATTTTCCCCCTTTTTTTTAATATACCATTTGTACCCCAGATGAATGGGATTAGAAACACAGTAAGAGGCAGAAGATAAAAGATACACTGTAGAGTTTATATAAGTTTAGAGTCCTGATTTAAAGAGTTTGTTCAGCTTGATATCAAAAGGACTTTCAGACATGGCTTAAGTTACAAGGCAGGGCTGGAAAGAGTTCAGTTTGTGTTTTATTTTTCCTTACCCTACTGAAAAAATATTAAATTGTTTGTTATTGCTTGAACTAATTGATTAATTAAATTGTATAAAGCATTAAACATTTATTATTTGCCAACTGACTCAAGAGTAGCTGATAGATCTCATTATAGTGTGGATGAATGTGAGGAGTCCTACTGCATACAGTAAGTGAGTAAAATATATTTGTAAAACATCTTTCACAGATAAAAATCAAAAAGTGTTTGACTAAAGAGTATAAACATTAAAACTTGAAAACTTAAAATAAACATAAATAAAAGACAGAGTAAGTTATAAGACACAAAGACAAAATAAATAAAAACATAGGTACCTCTCTTTCTCTAACATATTGAATGTGATTTTTGTATGCATTACTTTGTGTTAGTCTGCTACATAATGTCATATTAAAGTACATTAAAATTTGTGGTTTTAATGTAACAATTTTTAATGAGTCTGAAGAAGACACGCATGCAGTTGGTAGGACATGATTTCTTCTGGAGCAGGGTTGCAAAATGTGAAAATGAAAACTCTGCTTTCTAACACCAAGCAGAGTTAGAAACTAAATCAACAGACCATGACAAAAGAAACTCTAAACTAAAAGACTGACCTAAAGAAAGGTCACTGTCTTTAAGACAGTGATGGGAAAGTTAATTGCACTAGAAAATTAGCAACAAAAAATAAATAAATAAAAATGGAAACTAAGAAAAGTCGTGGGACTTCTAAAACACGACTTTTTGAACATCAAATGACATCAATGCAAGCTATGAAAAGATGTAGTAACGTCGGTACACCACTGGAGGTCAGTGTGGCGTCTTTTTTAAACTCTTACCACATCAACGTTGGCTAGAAACCGGCCAATCTTTCTGAATGCAGCTCCTGAATCAAAAGTGCCTCTCCACAGTGGGTCTCTATCTACCAGAAATGACAAAGACAAAATATGTTTTTTTTTTTCTGTTGTTAAAGCAATTTCTACATATTATAATACTTACAACAAAATGGCAATATAATGCATGAAAAAATGTGGTTCTTTAATAAAACCATAAAACAAAAAGTAATTTATCAAATCATTAAGCTCTCTGTTTAAAGTGATATTGGCTTTCTTTGAAATATTATTTAAAAGAAACAAGGATCTAAAGACTATTATCCCAGTGCTTTGATAGCCTAACCCCAGTCCTGATTTTTAATCACGGTATAAATGGGACAAATATATTCAGATTTGAAGATACATATGGTTACACAATGCAAAGGGAAACAAACAAAATAAAAATGCATAATAAGAAAAGCTTGGTTTGTTATTTAACTCACTGATCAGTATAGTTATTTTTTATTTGTTTGCAAAATTTCAGGCACTGAGCTCATACAAGTATGATTCTGTGATGACACGACTACTCAACCATCTTGATTTCTTCATCATGCCTGTCTTCAATGTGGATGGGTATCGCTTCAGCTGGAACACGGTACAATATGTTTCACAATTGTCTATCAGTTTTTAAAGGAGAACTGGAGCTAGTGTCTCTGACCTGTCCCTTATCCATCCTAAACTTCATGTTAGAGGAGAGTTGTTTCACTTAGCTATCACCCTCTGTTTATTTTTTTTTTTTTTCAGGATGCAAAGTTGCAATAAGAGAATAAAAAGTGCAATCTGATTTTCTTATAAGAATTTTGTTTTTTCAATTAATTTTGATAAATCTACTTTCTTTTATTTGTTTTTTAGTTGGATAGGTATAGTTTCATTTCTTTGTATGTAAAATGCTTTAATGTTACGTTTGTTGTGCTTTTGGGGTGCTGGTCTTTTCCCCTTACCTTTGCAGTTTGGGTCTTTTCATACCTGAAAAAATTATCAAAATATTACCAAAAGAAATAAACTCGTGTGTTTAAATACATACAAAATGTTCCTGAAAAAAATTATCCAATTCTTTTATACCTTTATATACAATATGAATTAAAAATCTGAATGTCTTAGATTTCAATAAGAAACAAACATATTACATAAACATAGAAAAAAATATCCATAAGAACTGACTTTTAATGATAGCAGAAACACTTAAGAACTGTCTGTGCTCCTGTGCTGGTTATAAATATAGCTAAGCTCTAAAATTGTCTTATTTAATTTCTGTAGGATCGGTTCTGGAGAAAGACGCGTTCCAAAAATCACAAGTTCCACTGCAGGGGTGTGGATGCCAACAGAAACTGGAAGGTGAAATGGTGCGGTGAGTTACTTTCTCAAGTCTAAGTAAAATAAGTTGCATCCAACACTCATGACAGCATGCGCAGCCTGCAAATAACTAAGGTAACATGCATGTTGCTGTTGTAATTTTACATGGTTTATGTGAAGATTTTGTATCTGTTGGGTGGAGAGGAGGTTATTTGTTGTCTTTAGTTGCTGTTGTTTTGCTTTTAGGTTATGTATAATCTATGCAAAATGAGCCAAAGTAAAATATTTTTTATCTTCTTATTGAAGATGAAGGCGCTTCCTCCCATCCGTGTGACGACACTTACTGTGGTCCTTTCCCTGAATCTGAACCCGAAGTCAAAGCAGTTGCCAAGTTTCTACGGAAGCACAAGAAACACATGAAGGCGTACATATCCATCCACGCCTACGCGCAGATGCTCCTATATCCATACTCCTACAAATATGCCACAATCCCCAACTTTAATTGTGTGGTAAGGAGTTCACCATAATTTAAGGTGCTCAAGCATCACTTCATTTGATTTGGATCTTATGCAGGATCAGTTTACATTCAGCCATCCTGAGTCAATACTCTGCCAAATGACATAACTGTTTCTTTCAGCAGCAAAATCCACACTTGATAAAAGTTTTTTTGTTTTTTTCCCCCCCAGGAGTCAGCAGCTCAGAATGCGGTGACGGCACTATATTCTGCATACGGAGTAAGGTACAGATACGGACCTGCCGCCACAACACTATGTGAGTTTTCTGCTTTTCATAATTAGCTTAGAGTTTTCCAAGAGAAATCTCAGAAAAGTCTGATTTTATTAATAATTCCAACCATTTTTGTTTTTCACTTATTTTCAGATGTTAGCTCTGGCAGCTCTATTGACTGGGCCTACAGGAATGGGATTCCCTATGCTTTTGCTTTTGAGCTAAGGGATACGGGTCATTTTGGTTTCCTCCTGCCCGAATCACTGATCAAACCCACCTGCATTGAGACCTTGAAAGCTGTGAAAGCCATTGCATCGGGTCTGCTGAAGAAGTGCAACACAGACAACAACAGATTTTCATATATATGAACAATATTGTTGTAGAATTTTCTACCACAGGTTATTGGAGATCTCAAAGACATTATACAAATTAATGTCACCGATTTCTTTTTATCATTTTTACATTTAGGAAATGACTGTGGTGGCCTTAGAGTGCCTGCATATAAAGTTATTTTTCCCAGTAAAATGGTAGGGATGTGAGCACTTGACGAGCTATGGTGGCACTTTAAGAATAAAATAAAAAGCAATCTTTTATATATAAAAAAATAAACAACTTGTTTGATAATTCTGTTCATGTATGTGACTCTTTGTTTACACATATTAGAGGAGTAAAAAAAAGAAAGAAAAGAAAATGTGTATTTGTACAAAAATGGAAACGTATAGTCAAGTCAGCAGATGTTACTTTTCTGCTAAAGATTAGCTTTGCATATACATAGTGTATTACAGTAAAACAACAAAATGGGTGCTGCTGCAAGCAAAATAAATAAAGAATGATGAAAATGGGAAGCCCTCCAGCAATCATTGATTCAAGGAACTAAAGAGCACAGAGGCCAGAACCATGCTAATGAATGAACCAGCATTTTATTCAAGAACAAAAACAGGCAGGAGCACAACCACTGAGACTGAATATTATTTCTCTTCTGCTAGCTAGAATGGTGTAAAAAAATAGACTGTTTTGGGTAAAAAAATAAAAATTAAAAAAAGCTTTGTGTCAGCACTTTTCAAACTGAGAAAATAAGTTAATTAGTTCCTCATCTTGAATGGCGACAAACAGAATTTTATCACTGATCCCCTTGCATGTAACATACGTTTTTATAATCATCCAACAACTGGGTTTTTTCCAGCAGTCACCTTATTGTGGTGGATTCAGGTAGAACAGGGAGCTGCCCACATTTTTCAAACAAAGACAATAAGACCTTCAAATCTGCTCTGACCAGCTAATTAGTCATCTTTGCCTTTTGGGATCAACCAGAACAAGAATTAGTCTTTCATGCTGAGACTTAGCTTTGACTTTTAAGTGTCTGCTGAATTTTAAAGGAGGTTTCTTTCGCAATTAATGTTTAAGCCTTTATTTGAGCAGCCTCGCTTTTACTCAGATTTCTGCTTCACTTCAGCTTTTTCAGTAAATTTGAAGCTGCTCTCTTTACATTACATTACATTACAGAACAAACTTTTATTCTTTACAAATAATTTTAGTATATGCTTGTGCAGTTTCTAATAAGAGAATGGTGTACTTATGTTCACGACCATCTCTATGGCAACATCCAAGCCGGCAACTTGGCTCATTATTTTTGAGCTGAAACTTATGTTTTGCAAAAAGGTACGTACCCTTCACAGATTTGTTCTGTTTTTGCTTTTTTGTCAAAGTGACTGTTTTAGATCATCAACTTCATTTAAATACTAAATAAAGATGGTGTGAGTAAATTCTGATTTTGCTTAAGAGAGAGAGAGAGAGAGAGAGAGAAAAAAAAGCTATTCAAATAAATCTCAACTTGTCTGAAAAATAAGCCAGAGGTCAACCAACGCCTTTTCACCAAAAGCTCAAACAATCTCAGGTGGAGCCAACAGGTTCGTTAAAATGTGGAGAGAAACTTATTCCCACCAAAGTGGTGGCAGAGAATGTGCAGCATGTGACAGCGTCATTTTTCTTTGGGGTGTGGTGAGATCCATGGTTCAATGCTTGTCAAGACATGAAACTAATACAATCTTACAAAGACATTGTATTAGAAGAAACTAATACATTCTTAGGCTGCACAGTGGCGCAGTTGGTAGCGCTGTTGCCTTGCAGCAAGAAGGTTCTGGGTTCAATTCCTGGCCCTGGTCTTTCTGCATGGAGTTTGCATGTGTGGGTTTTCTCTGGGTACTCTGGTTTCCTCCCACAGTCCAAAAACATGTCAAGTTAATTGGCCTCTCCAAATTGCCCCTACATGTGTGTATGCATGGTTGTTTGTCTCTGTGTTACCTGGCAACCTGTCCAGGGTGTACCCTGCTTCTCACCTGGAACGTTAGCTGGAGATAGGCACCAGGAACCGTCCCGACCCCACTAAGGGACAAGGGTGTAAAGAAAATGGATGGATAATACAATCTTAATCAGGTAGGGTTATTTCCATGCAAACTTGCCAAAATTTCTTGTTTGACACAGACTAAATTCAAATGATTAAAAAACACACAAACAAAAGTAATAAAAGTGTTTGTTTGTGGGGATTTTATAATGACAAATCCATAAAGTGCCTGAAGCCTCAGCAGCAGTTCTAACCTTTTCAGACTGACAGTAAGGAAGATTTTTGTGTGCCTGCCACTGCAATGGCTTCATTTCCTTCATTTCCTACAAGAAGGGATAAAGTCCACTTCTCTGGACTTCTCAGGAGAGGGTACATTTTGTGAATTTACTCTTGTAGGATGAAGAGGAAAAGATTTTTTCAGCTACTTTCCCATACATCTACCATATTCATATTTTGGAGATCTTAGGCAACCACAACAGCAAGGGCGAAGAAAAACAAGACAAAATTCAATTCTCACTCTTGTTTATTCAAACATATAGTACAAAAGGATTTCCGTAACACATTTCATTCATGATCCACACTGAACACATGGTCAGTTACTACAGTATGAGATTAGAACAACGACATGGTTGGGGGACATTAGACGGAGGATGCAGAGTGTAGGCACTGGAGGGTTGCTTGGAAAGCCAGCTGTTTAGAAGTACTCAATGGGGTCATGGTGCTTCTTGGAAAGCTGAACATTGGTCAGCTCAGTTTCTTCTCCGTGGCATGGGAGTTTCTTGAAAACACGGAGGTGAATATACTCATCATCTCCGACATGGACCTGAAAATAATTAAAGCCAACAGTTTAGACTGCACTCACTTGGGCAAACCCTTAATTATGTATAATAACACATAATACTACATGAACTTTTTCATATGAAGAACAAAAAACAATTGAGATTTTGTGCTCTAAAGCATTAAGAGTTGCCACATCTGATTTTTCTGTCTTAAAAAGTGAAAAATAAATAAATAAATAAATAAATAAACAAACAAACATGCATGGTTCTTCTTCCACTTTGAGATTATGCACTACTTTGTGTGTTAAATCCATGCCCTCACTTAGTACTACATTACCCACGATGCACTTGTTTGTTTTGTAGCGTCACTCGCTCATAGCTTAGCAGTTGACGAGCAATGTGCAATTAACGCACGTCAGATGCACACAGTCTGTTGCACCGTGTCTGTCTATGGTATGTACCAAAGAAAGAAACGTTAAAAGTGATTAAATTTAGACTGGACTCCCGTGCAACGGAGGACGACACATGAAGAAGATAAAGACGATTGTAAAATGCAACTACAAATGCTAACAAAGCAGTTGTTCCATTTCTCTTGGTGCCAGGACTGTCATGGCAGATTCACACAATCTGTAATCCTTCCTGCTGGACAAGACATTAACTACAAGTGCTGTTGACTATCTCCAGCAGCCAACCACATAGACCATCAGAGAGAAAATACGGCATTTAATGTATGTAAAGGCTTTCAGGGTTGCTTCTTCACGTCACATCGTCATGTGTGGTCTGCCTGATCTACCTTTATGAAGAAGTTGGTCCCCGCAACAACCTGACTCGTGTAGCTCTTGGCGGTGAAGGTTTCATAGGTCTTTCCTGCCTTCTGCTCCACTTGAGTCTTCACCTGAAAAGCAACGAGACACCAACAAGAAACAGTCAGGCAGGGCTGATTTGAGCAGGTCTGCTTTTAATTTGCAGTAGTTTTAGCCGAGAAGCACGTTTTCCCTTACTTTATTACATATCTCCTGGATTTCGGGCGTGGCGTCCTGTGCTCCTCCTGTACCTCCACACAACATGTTGACTAGTCGGTATAAATGCGATCAACGACAGAAAACCAAGAAATATCCAACCAGTCTGTCTGTGAGGCGTTTAAGTTGAGTCAGTAAATCACATGATGCGGCAGCGCTCTGGAGTGTACCATCACAAAGTGGAGAGAGGTGTGTTTTTATTTTAATTTAGACTCCGACGAGAATGATAGAATTAACAAACAATTGCATTGATTTAATAATAGAGGGTAAGCAGAGTTAATATAGTATTGATTTAAGCTTTCTACGCTTTTTTTTAAAGGCACAGGCATTCTACATTTCGCCTGCTTCCCTCATCTGACTCGTGTGGTTCAGACCGAGGAGTGGACGCTTCACTGACACAGCTGGCTGGATTTTGAGGCCCAGTTCTTCTGGTAACAGTGGAATGAGGAGTGAAGTGAGCTTTGGGACAAACATGAGTCACCACAAAACACCTCACTCAGTTCTCTTTCCTCTTTGCCACTTTCCACCCTCCGTTCCTCCTTTTTTTTTTTTTTTTCTTTACCGATGTATTTTCTGAAGAGCAACCTGGATAGAGAAATTAACGCCTCGTCTCGTCTTTTCAGTGGTTTTACTGTGTTGTATTTATTATGGCCCAAGAAAAAAACATTTCGACACTAATTAATCAACCAGTGCACTGATGATGTGAAAGTGACACAGAAGTGAGCATTAATTTCAATAGAAACATCTTTTTTCAGGTTTTGCTAAGTTTTTAATGTTTTACTCTAACACAAAAATGGTTCCTCTACATGTCGTCAGCCTTTGCAGGAATCGGCAGCCAATGATTCATTTATTTGATTGATGGTATTTTTGAACCAAGAAAACAAGCAAACAGAACCTCTTATGGTTTTCTTACAACAATCAAGGGCACAGCAAATAGTCAAATGAATTTCGCACTAGGGTGGCGCAACAGGAAGGGTTCAAAGCTTGGGATATTTTTGTTTATAACGCTGCTTTAAACTCCACAACCATATGTGTTTTGGAGTTCATGGTGGTGTTTGCCACACACAGTACATGATGATGCTGACGAGGACACAGAACAGGGCGGAATATTGCAACATTATGAACCAGAAAGCTTAATTCAGGTACAATATTCCATTTTCATCCAGCAAACATTGTATCTGTAACGTAGCATTGTAATTTAGACAGACGCTGGAAGCTTTGGTTCCCTAATTCAGCTACAGATACTGAATTGAATTTTACTTCTTGCAACTTAATTGAAAGCAGTTGTGTTGTTTATTAATTAGCAATGTATTTTAATCTGAACTGGTATAACATATGAACAAAATAATAAAATGTAACACCTTAAAATCGACACACTTTTAGAAAAATGTGGAACCGTAAGCAGATAAGGAGCACCTTTGGATCCCAGACATCAGTCAATAATTTGAATTATATCCCATGAAAACTATTAGCATTTAAAGCACCAGTTTTACTCAGTTATCAGACATCTAAAGAGACAAAACAATAGAGTATTGAGCATTAGTGAGTTGTTATAGCTTTCTATGCAGCATTAAATGTCACACCAACATTAACTTTCATAATTTCCCAGGTTCTATATAGAACCTAAGAAAAAATGTCTCCATCCCATTCATCTCGACCATTATCACACATTCTTACAACTGAACAAAAAAAAAAAAAAACAATTTTTTTACTTTTTGGGGGTTTTTAAATTTCACATCTGGAAAAATATATATTTATGGCAAATATATATATTTAAGAACATCAAGCTGCAGACATATGAGTCATCGTTTAGTGTATGACTGGGAGTACTGCGTGCAAAACAATAAGGAACATCAGTCACAAGATGCAACCAAGATGTGAGTAAAGGCAAAGATCAGGGATTACCCTACTGCTTACAGGCTCATATTTTAAGTCATAAAGCAGGGAGCGTGCCAGAACAACCACAAAACCACAAAAACATGTGATTTGCAGAAGTTGGTTTCAAGATCCTCTCTAAGTGAGCTGTCACAGATACAGAGGAGTAAACAGTTTACACAAGAGCCGATGGCTGTATTTTACTAATACATGAGGTGCTCTTTGCCCCGCCGTCGCTGGATATTGATGATTTGACGTCTTCACTGCTGACCACCGGGTCCTGTGGCTGGACTGTGAACCTTTTAAAAGTAATCAATGGAGTCGTGGTGGCTCTTGGAGACCTGTATGTCTGACAGCTTAAGATCTCCTCCATAACATGGGAGTTTTTTCCAAACACGGAGGTGAATGTAATCATCTCCGCCAATGTGGACCTGAAAGGGACACCATAAACTAAGTTAAACAGGATCCTTTCGTGCATTAAAAATTGGTAAAGGAGAGTCTGCATGCAGTGACATCAAGTTGATGTCCTTCAGCTGGGGGAAAACAATGCAATTAATGCTAAATGAGGTTACCAGACAACCATATTTGTGGCAAAGCTGGTGTTTTACAGTAGCTTCCGAAAGTATTTGGTGACATTATGTCACATTACAACTTGAATGCATTTTGGGGATTCCATATTAGATGAAAGTGAAATAGATTTTCAAAAAATTCTATACAAATATAAACCCAAAAAGTGCATAGTGTATATATTCTGATACAACTATAATCTAGTCAGCTAATTAATTACATGTAGATCGTTCAATCCCAGTAAACTACAGGTACTCTGATCAGGGGAGACCAAAGCTAAGCTCTCTGGCTTGCAAAAAAACTAACTGTCTGCACATCATTTTAGAACAATTCATTTGAGGAAGTGTGAAAAATGGTGATGGCATGGCGTTCTTTGGGAGGGACATCAAAATTTGTTAGACTTACTGGGGAGATGGGAGAAGCTAAGTACAAATCAAACATGGAAGCAGACAACCATTGTTTATATTTGTGCAAAAGAGCTTTGCAGAAAGTATATTCTTGTGCTGGAACAGGACATTCAAGTTCAGCTTTAGCTACTGTCCAAAGAACAGAGAAATAAAAGCAGCCTCAATATGTAGCAGTAGTAGGAGTCAAAGTGAAAACACTACTTCACAATTACGTTGCGTTACGTTTCTAAAAGCATGGGAAACGTAGCAGAAACTTGAGGTTGTAACGTGACAAACTGTGAAAAAGTTCAAGGGATGCTGACTATTTCTGCAGAGCACAAAGCATTAAGCCATAGCAAATTAAGTAATAAATAAGTAATCAAGTAGCAATAGTAATAAAGAATAAAGTAATAAAGAAGTGGCTGGGGAGAGGGAAGTCTGGGCCTCCCTTCTGAAGCTGCTGCCCCCGCGACCCCGCGGAACAAAATGGATGGATGGATGTATAGTAAATTAATAAATTAAAATGCAGTAACTTGTCAGCTGTTAAGCTTTGAAAGTTTACGTGTTCAGTTGGATGTTGAATGAACTGAATGACAAAGTACTTCACTATCAAGGACAGGACTGCCTTCAAATAAAGTTGAACTTCTAAAGATAGAATTGCCTTGATGAAGTAGTTTGTCCCAGCTACAAGTTGAGTCTTGTAGCTCTTGGCTGTGAAAACATCATAGGTCTTCCCTGCTTTCTCTTCCACATCAGGCCTCACCTGAGGAAAAAATAAGGAGACAGCATCAAAATTAAACACAGACCACCGCACACCCCAGAGAGTAACGGTTCATGTCCGAATAGGTGTGGCAGTGTAGACGCGTGTGCTTACTTTATCACAGATCTGCTGAACATTTTCATCGGCATCCTTTGTCTCACGGGATATCGCCCCACATTTTATGTCCATGGCAGACTTTTGAAACGGAAATCAAACAAAAGTTGACGAGAAAACCCACTTACTGCGTGACCCAGAGAGGAATTCAAGCAGAGAACTGAGAATGCTGGCGGACTGTACCATTTCCTTGAAAGGAGAGGGGTGGAGGGGAGCGTTGCTTTTTTTTTTTTTTTTTTTAAATGCTTTCCTGAGCAGATTCAGAAAATACTTGTTTTGCTTTACATGAATTATCCACATAGTGTAGAAAACTCTATTTGCCAGGAAGGAAAATAAAATAAATAGTTGAATACCAATTTTAGTCCCGTACAGAACCGCTGACACTACCGAGGAGAAAAACGGACTGTGCGAGGAAGCAAAGGTCCGAGTGGGCGTATAATGTCAAGGAAAGTCTTCCCTGTTTCCAATTTTTAAGGTGTGTTTGTAGCAAATATGTTGCAGGGACGGGTTTTTATGAGAACAAAAATTCACACATTAAGCTTCTCTGTGAACAGTTTGTGTATGAATACTCTTCATAAGTTGTCAATATGTAAATAATGTGTGGAAACAATAGATTAGATCTTTACGTTGAAATCAGTTTTCATATCTGCTACAGCACTGAAGGCTGAGGAGGAAAAATCCCCCGTCTTTCTGGGTAAGATCTCCAACACCAGAGGACCAGACTTCATCCAATTTCATCTTTTATTTGCAAACATTTTTTCCCTGCTTTGAACAAAGTCTAAATCTGCTATTTTACTTTTTAAAGGAAAACATGTCATTCATCACATAGAATGAAAATGAAAACCAAAGACTTTCTTGCAGGAATTTGGACTTCCTGTTTCCTTCTTATGTGCCAACAAAACTCAGAGCAGGTTTTTCAGGATGCAGAAAACAGATCTCTGCCTGTAAAATATACTTTGAAGTTAGTTAATCCATATGCTATTAAGCAATGGAGATATAAACATCGTTTGTATCTATAAATAAAAAGAATAGTTTTCTGTAGGAAGTAATCCCGTATCTCATGTCTAATATGTTTTCTCTGTATAATAAATTAGATTGATTTTATTTGGAGCAAAATATCTGTTGATTGGAATCATTAATAGGTTTCATGATGTTTACCAGAAGTGCTATATCGCTTGACAGAACCCACTTTGCCTAGGGTTTTCCATTAACTAACAAATATTTCTTAAATATTTTGTGTTTGTATTTTGGATAAATTCTGAAAAGATCTGCTGTTGTGCTACTCCACCACAAGATGGCAGTGTTTACATGTAGAAACAAAATCAGTAAGCTGGGAAGTCTTCAATAATTAGGAAATAACTAAAATAAATCTGCTGTTTAGGTCACAGTACAGTTCTTCTCTCCTTTTCTTGATTCAAGTTCAAACATATCCATCTTCTTTCCTACATTCTTTGCGATGTTTTGGGTCGCCAGAAGGTGGCGCACATACGTAATCTGTTACTGACTAATACAACTCAAGAAATTAGAATATTGTCAAAGAGTAATATAAAAAAAAGTGGGAAATTATTTCAGTAAGTGAAGCTTGTATCCTATGAATTCAGAACATTAAGTGAAATATATCAGCCTTTAAAACCTTTGCATGGTGTACAAATGCAACACAGATACATCTGCGAGACAAACCAGTGCACACTCATTCACACCTTCATAATAATTTAAATGAATTGAATAACTACAAAGCCTAGACAAACTTTTTAGGTTTCAATGCTAAATAAATTATTAGCTACACAAAAGCATCCAAACTTCTCCAACAAAAACAAATTGTTTTGGAGAAGAGGTGAAAAATCTTCAAGAAACAAAGGAAGACGTCCAGTAATTTCTGCATCTATTCTAGCAGACATTTTTGACATGTTCCGAATGCTGAGACCTTCCTTCCAAACTGAAGACTTTCTTGGTCATATATTCTCACTGTCAGGTTTGCATGACAAACACTTTGGCAACAATTTCTTTATTTTTCAGTACAACTCTGGTATGTTTGATTCTTGTGCATAATTTTATGCCAATTATGCAAATATTCTGCCTGGTGATCCAGCAGTGACCTCCACCCATTATCTAATACTTCGTAGCTGCCGGCCTGGTTAGCTCGTTAGGATCTGAGAAGAGCTTAAATGCAAAAGACTTTATCTGGAGTCCCACACAGATCATTTATAAAGTTTTCCCTCACAATCGTGAGCAACTTACAGCTTTGTAAAGTTTTTACAAAGCTGTTATTATAGGACAGTTTAATGCAGATATGAAATTTTAAACGTTTTTGCTTGTCTTAATAGTGCAATGGGTCAGTTTTGTCTAACTCAACATACCGCACCTAGATACGTTTTTATTTAATTGAAATTACATCAAGTTTACTTTCTATAAATACACATGTTCCTACAAGGCCTTTAGAATATTCTTAGACATGTGCTGTCATTTGTGTTGGTCTGTGAAATAAAACTTCAATAAAAATAGGTTAATTGTTAATTGTCATCAGAGATGGAGCCAAGGGACCCAAGGTAAATATGGAGGAGCTGCACAGATACAAAGCTCAGGTGAGAGGATACACCTCTTCCTGAATATATCAACGTTCAGACTTAAATCCAAATTTTCTCTACTCCTTAAATTTGTTCCAGTCTGGAATTTTGATTGAGAGCCACATAACATGTTTCCTTTCTTTGCAAATCAATCCAGGGTTATGACACCAAATAAAAAAATAAAAAAATAAAAAACAAAATCGCAATATGTGGAAAAAGTCATGGGGGTGTGAATGCTTTTGTACAGCCCTCCAAATTTGTTTGAAAGGACAAAAAGATCAAACTCAACTAACATTTTTGCTTACTTCTGCTACATTTGTCCATGCTAGAGGGATTGTGATTACCCAAACACATTTAGCAAGTGAGCCAAGACAACTCCATATTGCTAGCTTAAATAAATAGATTAAACATAGTCTCTGTTATTCTGTTTGATAACTATTATATCTTTCACTTGCGAGGCGGCACTGAAGCAGCTTGAAGCCTCTCTGGAGAACCCCTCGTTGCACATTAACAGCTCTGATGTAGAGTTTTATTGCAAATTATCTTTAAAGCCCTCAGATTTATTTTGTGACTGCCTGAGGTGTCCGATTAAATGCTGGCCCATGGTGCCTTACTATCAGCTGAGGCTGAATGTTGTGCACAGCAGAAAATCCATTATGCTGCAAGTTTTTTTTTTTTTTTCATCTGCTTTTGCAACTGGCTGTGATATAACGTGCAACTGAAAATGATTGTGTGTGGGAAATAAAAGATATCTGCATAAGCATACTTTACAGCTTTATTGCAGCAGCTCATGTGAATGAGAATCTCCAGGGTCACTGATAGGATGCTTTAACAAACATTGAACAAGACAGTGCTTGGCCTTTATAGTGATGCTTCACCAGATTCCTTGTTCTCCCGTCGGATGGTCCATAACTTCCGTCGGGGGATGAAACGTGGAGCTGCATGCAATATGCTTCCGTCCAGAGGTGTTGGCAGATCACTAGAGAGCTGCGCGTTCCCTAACTGCTATAATTTTGAAGACTGGAAGCCGCCCAAAGAGATTAATGAATTTAATGACAGCAAGTAAAAGGATTAACCATGAGGATAGCTGCTAATCAAAAAGGAAATGCCTTTGAAAATGGAAGGAAGCAACTCCTCTGGGAGGATGTCCAGCTGAAATGAAGATTATGAAACCATTGTTTTTTTAAAAAAGATGTGCCAGGTTTCTTACACTACATGCAATACTAATATCACTCAATTGTCTGAGGATTCAGTAGAGTAACTGTAGACGCAGTGAGAGAAAAAAAAAAGTTATCTTCTAATATATTGTAGCTAAGCATTTAACTGTATATTTGCACAGCCAGCTTCATTTTTAGAAAAATAATGCATGATCAGAAGTCACACATCAAATGAAAAGGTGATGATGGTTTTGCACAAATATATGACTATAAATGACGTATTGTATTGTGGAAGCTAAGGAGTGTGCAGTGTGTTTCTCTGCTTTATAGCACTTTTTTTTTTACTCCAGACTGTCAAAAAAAGTATATGAAACTCAATGTAGAGAAGAACATCGAATTAGTTTAATGAGATGCTTAGTGGCCAACAATATTGAGCCGATGTCCCATTGCTTAAATATAGAAATGTGGCGCTAATTCCAGCAAGACAAGATCTTGAGAATGTGTTGCGCAGTTGAGTGCTTAGGACATCCCTGGAGGCTATAAAAACAGCACAAGTGGGTGAGCTATAATCTGAGTTGGGAAAATATGCCACTGTGGCTCAGTAAAGCTGATGTCCAACTATTCAAGGCTTACTGGGAGCTTTAAAGTAATAAAGCAATCAGAGACAATCATTACATTCATCTGGGTTGTAAACACTTATATAATAGAGAAAAGATTAAATAACTGAAGTGTTTAATTTTAAAGTCAATGGGAATACGACACACTTGGTACAAAAATACAAAAACAAAACAAAAAAAGAGAGATTGATGTAGTCAGGCTTTTAACGACTATGAGTCTCAATAGGAACTGATTATTACTGAAAGGAATTTGCTTGTGGTTTGTTTGAATTTTATGCAGTATCGTCAGACCAATCCCTGCAGATTTCAACTATTGCTCCTGTTTGAATTCAGCAAATGTGTTTCAGCTGCAATGTAGTCCCTGAACAAAGTAGAATTTCCTGCAGATCTCACCCAGAGGATGCTCCAGATATTACTGACCACGCATGCAAACATCGAGACATTTCAAACAGCAGTCCCGTTTATTTTACTCCTCATCTCAACTTCTGTTTTTTTCTGTTCCATCTCTCCTCAATTTAGCTAAGTAAAACTAGCTTAATGATAATAATTACATATTCTTTTGAAAAAAAAAGAACTTATGATTTTTGGAGATATAACTTTTTTTTGGTCTTTCTTAAGAACTAACCTCTTACTTCTCTATATCCTAAATAAAGAAAAATAGAAAACCTTTACAAAATGAAAATGGATAACTTTTTCTCTGGAATATTGCTGTTTATGAAAACTAATGTAAATAAAGCCCCTATTTTTCAAACCTTCTGAGAAGACAAACAAAATAATAAAAATAGTACTGTGCTTTTAGTGTCATTCTATTCCACTGGTAAAACATGCATTTATAATTATATTTAAAGAAAATCATAAGTGGATTCTTTGTCGCTTTTAGCCAAAGTTTTTAAGAGCCATCGTGGAAGGTAGAGAGCCACTTGCGGCTCCGGAGCACCAGGTTCCAGACCCCTGTGCAAGTCGGTAATCAACCAGAAGGGGCAGTGTTGCAGCTTAGTATCGACTAAACAAAGAAGAAGAGCTTGTTTACAATAGTGGTTCTTTCAGTAACTATTTAGGTGATGATTGTGTTGCACAGCAGTCTGTACAGCGTCCCTTCTCTCACCATGTTGTCCCTCCTGTTGTCGCGAGGTTTCTGTCAGGCTGTCACTGAAGTCAACCGAAGGTCTTACCCGACTGTAGCTTCATTTATCCGGACTTTCACGACCCCCAGCCCAACATGCGGACACGACGACGGTAATTTCACAAACAGAAATGTTCCTTCACTTCACTCGACTCTGTCCTTCAGGAGTCACCTCTAAGCCCATCTGTATACGGCCTTCATACACAAGTGTGACAATAACACTTCACACCTGACTACCTGGTTTGAAGGCTGATAATTTATTTCATGGCATGTACTTTGTCCTTCAAGACACGTAAACTGGTTCGTCCTTCATTTTAGGATTCCGACAGTTTTGATTAACTTGGAGAAACAATGGTTCAGATAACTTACTGTAATGCAGCCGGGGCTGTTGAATCATGAGTTACAGTAAAACTGAATAAGTGGTGCGTTTCGACACCAGTGTAGTATCTGGTTTAGCGTTTCACGGTTGTTCACTCCCATGGTGCGTTCAAGTCCGCTTGTACACTAAACTATTTTGACAATGACAAAAATAATATACATCATGCAAAATCCACTTGGGCTCCTTGATATGTTTTACCTTAAGTTTGTTTTTCTGTAACAGCTACTGTTTATCTAAATTTCATGACCTTTAGACAGGGCGTGTAGTTTGCATTTCACCTGCTTTTTGAACTAAATGTAGCAAGTTGTGTCCCTTCGGCATTCTTTTATGTCATTTCTGGCATGAAATAACATTTTATCCATGCTTTTGTGTCTATTTGATACTTTTTCCATTCTTTTGTGTTAACATCTTGCAAAAAAAAAAGACATGGTTTTTGCTTTCCAGTATGATTTCCATGTTTCTCATTTCTGGAACACTACCTTGCATATTTTAGATACAAGAATACCTGATTCAAATGATTGCATGACCTCCTGCAGCCATCAAGTGCTCCAGAGGTCTGTTAATCACCCGCCCATTCAACTCTAGTGTGTGGCAGGTAGAAGGAAAACTCAAACTCCTAAAGCAGTAGATGGTCCCTGAGGACCAGAATTGAGAAACACTGTTCTAATGTACGAGTTTGCAAATATGGGTTTAAGGATAGAACTTGCCTTTAGTTTTTATCAAGCAGAAAACAGCAACGTTGATTCTAATCTATTTTTCTGCCAGTCAAAGACACACCCAGGCTCTGGTACATAATATGGTTTGAGTATATGAGATAAGTGGGAACAAATTAACTCTCCATGTTGCTTTTGAAGGGACTTTTATCCTTTATACTGACATTTTTTAGAGGTTAAAAGTCCAGATAATACATTGTAATCTACTCTAGGGACTTCAAATGCATACATGACCAGTGTATTTGTTGTGTTTATTTCTATGACATTAAAACATTTTTATGTCTAAATAACAGAGATGGACCACAAACTGTGGTCCATCTCCTTGAAAGGAAACATTTTGATGCTTGTAAGTTAGCAAGGGAACATTTTGATGCTAGTAAGTTAGCAAGGGAACATTGTGATGCTAGTAAGTTAGCCATAATGGGATGTTACTGGTCTGCAGCGGCCAGCATTTCCTTTTGCCAGCACCTCCTTTTAAATAAAGTGTTCTTGAATTCAGCAGGATAGAGCGGACGGGGAGATGCTTCGTTTATATGGAACTCCATCAAGCACGACAACTACAAGCATGCTTTGTTCCACCGTCTGCATTTTTCTATTTACTCCCTTCACCCATTTCTTTGTAGAAGCGTCACTGGTGACCCCCTCACAGCTGAAGGCCATGCTGTCAAACCGTAACGTTCAGCTTTTCGATGTGAGGAATCCGGATGAATACCAGGATGGCCACATTCCTCAAGCAGTCAACCTCCCATGTAGGTCACAGTACATGTACAGTCTAGTTTAGAGCTGTTCATCTGGAAATTTACATTTACTTTTCTTTTTTGTTTTGTTTTTTTCTTTCTGTGTGACATTACAAGTGGGTATCGTGGAGGAGTCTCTGAAGCTGCCTCCTGAGAGCTTTAAGCAGAAGTTTGAAGTGAAGGCTCCTGGAAAAGATGACGATAATATAGTGTTTAACTGCAGAACTGGCGTTAGGAGTGGCGAGGCCCTGGGCATTGCCCGTCAGATGGGATTTCACAGGTAAAAACAGGCAGGTTTCTGTTTGCAAGAACCTTGACAAACTTGTTGTTCACTTACAGGAAGAGCAGGGAAAAAGATGATCTTTTTATTGCATGCGTCTTTTTCTCAGAGCAAGACACCTGAAAGGAGGGTACGCTGCATGGGTCGAACAAGAAGGAAATTGAAATCATACTAAAATCTACTTCCTGTGAGATTATGTTTTTAAAATGTATAAAATCATGAAGCAGAATGTCATCATTGATCACTTTGGCAGCAGTGTTTAGGCTGTTGAAAGTTAGCTTTACATGCTTCTTATTTTAAAGTTACTGAATTTTATTAAAATATGCATTAAACTTGAGTACATACAGCACGTGTCCTTTTTATTCAAAATGAAATCATTGGAGGTGTGTTAAATTTGAACATGTTTCATGTTAATAAAAGGTTTTAAGTAAAAAATGTCTCTTTCTAGACTTTTGCTTTGAGGGAATCTTACAGGAGTTTATTGTAAGCATGTTCCATTTCAGCTGTCTTGTCTTACTATGCCAAACTTATGTAGGAGAATAATTTCTTGAAGTGCAAGTTTGATCCGTTATCTTTTGCGCCTATTGCAGTGGAAAAAATTCAGGGCTGTCCAAAGTTCAATACACAAATGATTTGATAGCCACAGCATAATGGAAGTTGACCTTTCAGCCCTCAGTGGCAGTGCATTAGAAATCGTTTGATTTTAGATCAGCCACGTGGGATCAGGGGTACTTCAGAAAACCACTGTCAATCATCATATTTTAGCACAAAGTCCTGGAAATGTCACCTGAAACTGGATCAAACGAGAACAAATCCATATATCATCATCTCAAGTGTAAAGGCATAAGTGCTCTACAGGTGGGCAGAAAGAGTCTATATGTGATTGATGGTCAAATGAGTCAAAATTTCATTGTGGATGGTATCCATTGTGTCAGTAATGCTAAAGGGACAGTACATGTGTAGCGGAAGGAAAATGATATTGTTTTTGCAAACCACATAAGTGGGTCAGCCGATATGTAATTTAATCTCAGGACAAGCACAGCTGTTGAATGAAGGACTTTCAGGTTTATCCAAAATATCAGAAAAACATGAAGCCCAATGAATACGGCAGACGGGTCGAAGAGATAGTGGTGTACAATCAATCATCTGAAAAGGGAAGGCGTGATATGAAAGTCTGCTTTAACTGACGGGCTGAGCAGGGAAGGCCCAGTGAGCCACACGGAGCAAACCTGAGTGCACTACCTCAGCAATGAAATGGTGGTGGGAGCATCATGCTGTGGGAATGCTTAGAGTTGATAGGGAAATCAATTGGAAGCGAATTGGGACAACAAGCCTGAATTTAAAATTTGACTCTGACTGTCTGAGCTCGACACAAATGCACATCACACTTTTTAGGTTTATATTAATACAATATTTGGAAAACCATGTTTCAGTCTCCTTCCTCTTCAACATTATGCCCTAATTTGTCTATCGCATAAAAGCCTAATAAAATATACTGATGTAGTGTGACAAAATGTGAAATAGTTTTAGGGATGTTAAGGATCTGAGAATGATCTACAGGACTTTGAAAAGTGTTCATATATGTTGTCTTCCAAGGAGTCAGACTTTTTTACAGTCTTATAAATAAGTCAAAATCAAGAAATCTAAAGGCCTATTACAGTTTTTCTTTACAGTTTGCTTGCTTTTATACCCAGTTTAAATTCAGTTTATGTACCCAAACACCACAGCATATTTTAGTGTGTAAAACTAAAACATGTAGGAAAGTGAACAGACAAGATGCCTGGCCTAAGAGTCATCCTGACATCAGAATGAAAATCCAGTAAAGATCTGAAAAAACAAAGCAGAATCCTTCATTTACTTTAATGTAGGTTTTCAGCTAGAATACAGTACTATTTGCATCACTGTCAAATTGTGGTATCTTTGTAGATTCAACAGAAAGAAAACGGAGAACAAGCCTAAAGTCTTTGTTCGTTAAAGTTGGTGCTTCACTAAGGTGTTTATTGAGAAAGCACTGAACCATTGCTTGATCTTACAAGTATTTTATAGCTAAATGATTCACTGACACTGACAAATGGTCACTGACAAATGTAGTTGGATGCAGTAGTGGAAATGAGTAATAGAAAACAGTAAAAAAGCAGCCAACGTTCAAATGAAAACCTTAAAAGACCTTCAGAAAGCCTAGAGAACTTTTAATCAACATAATTTCCAAAGATTACAAGATAGTATACCCCCTTGGAAGTAAAATGTAAAGCAAATGGAGATAATTCACACCTTCGTGTATTGAAGTCATATTTTCTCCTTTGAGATCTATGTGGTGGTCTGAGCAGGACAACGTCAGACCACAGAGTTTCTTGTCTTGTAACACGGGCATGTGCCTGACAGTTCTGCTTCAGAACTGATACATAGAAGAACCAATCAAATCTTTCCTTGAATCATAAGTTGCAGAAGCCTTACACACTGAATTGGAATGGAGGCAGACTTCTCTGGAATGCAGCTAACATTATAGCTGAATAACGGTGGCTGTAACAAAAGCAGTGAATGTGATTTCAGGGGTATTGTTTTTCTCAAGTCGTACTGGAGCTGCTCACTTACAAAAAACACAAAAAGATAATTGAAAATTTAGTATCATTTAATTAAATAGGTGCTCAAGTCTACTTAAATAATGCAAAATTATCATTTTTGCCAGATCTGCAAAATTATCCACCCTCTTACTGAGCTCCAAATGTGTTTTGTTTGGCTATTGAATGCCTATGAACCACATACTATGTCCTAAATATGCCCAATGAGGTTCTGACCAACACATTACTGAGTCTCAAAGATTTTGAGACTGAAGGTGTTGTTTTTTTATTATCTTTACTGCTTCTGATCTTATGAGGATAATTTAGATTGAGTCTATCCTGAGAAGAGTGGTCAGACAGAATTAAATAAAATGATGCTCTGTTGTTCTGCGTGAATTAAAGGACCAAAATGCAGTTTCCCCCCTTTCGGGCCTCTGTGTTCAGGCATTCCTTTACGGTTTAAATCCTGTATTGTAACATAAAGCTGTTTTCTTACATTTTTTTGGACAGCTTTTTGGTAAGCTGCTATACTGTCAAACTGCTTTATAAATAAAGTAGCATCATAAGAGAAGATTGGCAGGTTTTTAATTGTCACATAACTCTTAAAATTAAGTTCTGGGTTTTGGTTTGAATGTTTGGGACGACAATAGGTTGACTTTATTGTCCAAGGGATTTGACTCACTCACAATTTTGCCTAAAAACAAAGCCACAAATAAAGAATTTTATGTTGGCAAACTGAAAATGTTAATGTTTTGATCAAACTCTGCAAATATTAATCCAACTAGGAACCTGTCGACTCTTTGCATAACCTTCAAGCAACATGTTTTTATAACTTTCACAAAATTCTTTATTAAGAATTTTATAT